TGATATCAGTGGTGTCTGAATGGGGGTGTTTCCTTACAGATAAATACAGTCCAACATTAGATAAAAAACAGGAAAAGTGAGACTTTGGATCACTTTTGAATTTAGGAATGCATGTAGACTACACAAAGTCATCTTAGAGGGGTGGTTGAAAATGTTTCACTGTTCAACCTAGTTGTTATCTACTCCTTTCTTATTTATCTGTACATTGTAATGCAGGAACAAGATACACTACCATACCTATTAGGTAAGCTGTTTGCTTAAGCTATTTTTCTCCTGATAATTGTATGTTTATATATTTATAATGTACATGTATAGTAACTTAGAAAGCTCAGAATGTTGTACAGAAGAAACTAAACATCACACTGACTCAACTGATTTTGGAATTATAACTGTTAACTTTGGGCATGGTACCTTTTGGTCTTTTGGTAAAGTGACCTGTAATATGTGCTACTGCTATTATATTTTCAGAAAAAGAAAATAGTGGTTAAATAATTATTAATGTACTTCATAGCCAAAATGATATGGAGTCTAGTCCCAACACTACCACTTCATCAACTTTTTGAGTTTGTCCACATTAATCTAAGTCTCAGTTTCTTTGTCTAAAAAGTCTAAGGATACATTTCATGGAGTTACTTTGAAGACACAGTAGAGTAATAGCAATGAAGCTCTTGGGCAGTATCAATCATATTTAATAAACAGCTGGCTTTATTATTATCTTGCTTAACTTCATTTGATCCTTATTTCATAGTTCTATACTTCTTTTGTCATTTTAATACCTGTAAGCATTCTCCTAGACAGTGGTTGTTATTGACATGAAGAAAATGGAGTTAGATAAATCTGAACTAAAACTTGAGCAATGTTATTTCCAATCTAAGCAGTTCTGACAAACCTGTGAGTTGTCTGTACTTCAGTCTCCTCATCTGGGATACACAGTATCAACAGCAAATGTAACCACAAGGTGGGAACAGCCATTCAGGTGAAATACTTTGCACAACATCTGGAATATGTAAGAACTCACTAAACACTGCCATCCAAACAGGATCTTAAGGGTGACATTGTATTGCAAATATAGATGCTAGACTCTTCTGTTCTTCTCATTTTTTTTTTCTGTATAGTGAACCTATAAAATCTTGGTTTATATCTTGCCTATAAATCTTGACCAATGTTTTCAGTTGTTTTCTTAAATTCAGCAGCTGATACATTAAGCCAGGAAACCTTTTATTTTCAAATAAAATCTGAACCAGAAGGGACAATAAAAAAGACCTATAAATAAAAGAGTTGAAAGGAGTTCAGAGATTGAAATGGATGGTGCAATAGGCAAAAAGCTGTGCGTGCTTCTCCTTGGGGTAACCCAGGACAGCTCTCCTTATGAAAATCCTTGAAAATTACTGAGCAAAACATCTTAGGAATACAAAACTTCCTTTTCTCTGTGTAATAAACAATGAGTTGTCCGCATGTAGTTCTGGCGCTGTGCTGTAGGCGAAGATGGAGCGGCAGTAACACCACCACTGTTCAACACGAATGTTCTATACCCAGGATGAAATCCAAGCACACGAACCCCTGCCTCTTTCAGAAAGTCGTTAAGACACTAGACACAGCAGTTCCGTTAACCCTGTGCAGTATAAATAGCAACTGATTTTAATGACACAAGATGTTACATTCAGGATTAAGCTGGGTTCTTCATGTACCTGTTGCTCCACCAGGACACAGAACCCGGCCCCGGCTACATCAGTCACCTTCTGTATGTGTTCCTTTTACAGTTGTACTCAGTCAGTATATTCACAATCATAAGAGGTGAAGAACTGTTAATTCCATCCTAGTTGGATTCAAAATGTTCTATCACAAACTGGAAACTTCAGAAAATTTTCTACATGTAATATCTTATGCATTTGTAATTTGTCAAAGTATATGCCTTTAAAAATGAGTTAGGGATAAGACCCATAAACTTCTCAAGATTCAAATAAACACAAAAAAACTTAAATATTAAAACAAAATGAAAAATCAAGAATGGGTAAGTATGCCTTATGAAGACAATCACTTTAGTTGCTAACATCAGGTCTTTTACATTTTTTGAAAGCAACTAACTCTTCTAAAAAAATAACTAATGGAAAACTAACACTATAAACTCAACTTTACACTCCTCAGTTTGCCAGGGTATAATATTCTGTTGAAAGCAGTATGCCTACAACCGCAGCTCATTTTAAAAACAGGTGTCCCAGATAATGTCACTTGATCTGACACCTTCTTGCTTTGGTAAGTAATACTGACACCGAGGGCAAGAACTGGATTTATGCTTTGACCAGGGCTCTGAGCCGACTGCAGGGTATGCAAGCTGCTGTAGCACTTGAGCACTAGGCAAATGTGCTATGTTAATTATTGTTACATGATCTTGACATGAGCTAATCCCCATTCCTGTTAACTTCCATAGTAACTGAAGCTTCAATGCTTAAATGACAACAAGAGCTGGATAATACAGAACAATATAAAATTCAGCAGATGAGGAGACAGTCAGTGATGGCCATTTATCTCATTAGTTGAATACATATTTATTTCATAAAATAGAATATCTATACATCAAAGCATCTCAGTCCACCATTAAATCTGGAACTAAGGCAAGGAGAAATGGTGCACGCTGCTTCTGCTTTGAGCTTCCTATTCCCACCATATTAAAAAGAGGCACCAAAAGTTGTGATTATAGGAGAGTACCGGAGTTGATGATCAGACATGAATTAGCAACTGACATGCTTTGACACTCTAGCTTATTGAGCAACAGCTTACACCAGCACACAAAAGCTGTGATTTCTGTTTCTACAAAGGATATTATAATTCAGAATACCATATCATTTAGCACTGGTATGGGTAACCACAGTAAGGTAACTAATAGAGCCATGTTACATGTCAGAGTTCATATTTATTAACATTAAATCTAAAAATTTAACTAAGTCCAGGAAGTAGTTAAAAGCACTGTTTTTACTAATTAGAATAAAGCAGTGCTACACTAGATTTTATATAGATTATTTCTGTAAAATAGTAACCATATAGGAACTTGTAGAAAAATGACTGACCAATCAAAACCAAGTTGACTGAACTGAGTCATGCCCCAGTTCATTAAATACTTAACCTACTCAATGTCTTCTGCTCAATTTATGCTGTCCTAGGTTGGGAAGACCTTCACTGCTCTGGCCCTTCTCTTCAGAATCTTATTATTACCACTGTGGTACTGGACAATTCTTTTTACAAAAAAAAAAATTAAAATACAATTACCCTCTTCCCTTTCCTCCCTCTAACCCTTCCTATATCCCGTGCCCCCTCATTTTCCCTCAAATTCATGGCCTCTTTTTTAATCACACACACACACACACACACACACACACACACACACACACACACACGCACGCACGCACGCACGCGCACGCACGCTGAATCTGTTTAGTGTTGCTTATATGTACATGATCTCAGGGGCTGACCACTTGGCATTGGATAACTAATTATCAGCTCAACTCTAAGGACTTAAGGACCAACTCCCCCTCTATCAGCAATCATTAGTTCGCTATAATTCTTTGTCTAGGGTTGTGCCTTGTGAAATTTCCCTCTTCCCATGTTAGCATGTCTTGTTCAAATGTTGTTTAGGCAGCCATATTCTTATGAAGAAGATATAATTACAATTTATATGAAAAAATAACAATTAGAAATCTATTCCATTGCTATAAGATATTATTTGTTTTTTTATGTGCATGTTTTAAAAGTCTAAACTAGTCTAGATAAGGTGGTTCACAAATAGAATTGTACTTCTCCATGAGTCTGAGGCCAGTGTAGAGTACATAATGAGTTCTAGGCTAGAGTGAAAGCCTGTATTAGAAGTCCCCCCTTTGCCTTCCCCTGAGAATCTATAAACTAGAAAACTAATAGTGGTTATCTTAGGTGGTAGCTTTTGGGATTTGCTTTCTGTTTTTCTACATTTTTAAATTGTCACAAATGAATATCTTTAAAATAAAAGTGTGAATCTATTTTAATCTTATGCTGTGTACTGTGTTCTTGGTATGGCATCCAATTACTGATAGGTTAAGAGGAATATTTATTTATACTCTGTGTTTAAATCACCAGATCATTCTACCTTCCATATTAAAAATGGCCTAGAAATACAATGCTAGACAACATTACTGTAACAGAAAAGGGGGAAACGCCAGTCTTCCTTGCCTTTGTAGGCCCCGTTGTTTCAACTGTTTAAAATAGGACAGTTTAAAAAGAAGAGAATGTAAGCAATAATTTCTAGCGACTACTTTTACTGCCAACAAGGCAACTCACAAAGAGGCAACAGGGTCTTTCTGGTGAGATGTCTGCAACCAGCATTCACATACACACCTTGTAACATTTTAAAAGCCACTCATAAGGATGCTGAGATTTAATAAGCTCCAGTACAATACAATTACAAGATCTCTGGGCATTTCCCCCCTTTTGGAATTTAAGAGACAATAAAACAGATTTGGAAGGAAATACTTGAAAGATGCTGGTACTAACCCATTCTAATACTTAAAGCACTTGTGAAGAGATAAACAAAGGTCTACGGTCACTGCTTCTGTATTTAAAATCTAATCTTTTCTCCAGGGCTCAAAGTTCCTTCTTTAACGTTACAAGTTATTTTTCAAGTAAATGAAAGTCTTCATTTGTATAATTTGTAAAATAATAAGGTGGAGATAAATGATCTCAGGATCCCTTCAAGCCTTACAATTTTAATATTTCTGAAGGGCTACTATATTAATGACTTTTTCTAGATCTGGTAGAAAGGAGTAACTGATACAATCAATATTTTAGTTTTATTTTCAGGGAGCCTGGGGTTACTTTCCATTAAAATTAATATGGTTATACACTTTAATCCTATCACAGAGTTGTAGCAAGAATATTTTTACTAATAATAATATAGACATTACAGAACATTAAAAACCAGCCACATTAGTATTAGGTGTTTTGAAGGAAACGTCAACACTGACTGACAGACTGACCTGATGACTTGATTGCAGTGAGCACACATGGGAGTCCGCTTCCCGGCTGGAATGTGCTCGGCTCTCTGCACGAGGGTGTCTTGGTCACTTGGTGGCCCCACAGCTGAGTTCGCAGGGCCCCCTGTACCTGAAGAAGTTGCATTGTTTGTAATTCTTCCAGTAGAAGGTGCTAGAAGTGAAATGCAAGAGAGTCAGAATGTGAACAAGCTAAATATGAACTTTTCCTAATAACAAATACTGGTTATCTGTTGACACCGTGGCAAAGTTATAACTGTGCTGTAGCTAAACAGGTGAACAGAGAATATAAACCCAAGGATTAGCACAAAATATGAGTGACAACCATGGTGTGAACCCACTCCTTTCCTACTTTCACAGGAGACATGGTTAGGTGAGCATCATAGGTGACATATTTTTTCCCATCTAGTTATCTCTGCTCACCTGAACTAATTAAACTTAGTTCTAAATATACCACAGGCACACAAGAAACTTCAGTGTGTTGGAGATAAAAAGCTCACTCACTCGACTCTCTTTCAGTTTGTATTTCTCAAGAAAACCACATCATCAGTTACCAGGCATGCCGATGCCGACTAGTTACCCAGGACCATCCCTAATCCTTCCTGAGCAGCTCTGGTAAGAACAGGTCCAGATTTGGCCGATTTGGCCTCCCCTTATCCATTCCTACAATGCTTCCTGTTGAGATCCCCCATGTTTTCTTTCTGGAGGAGCTGCCAAGATGGCTTTCTCCCTTATAGCCACTTTCCCAGTGACCACTGCAGATTGTAATGCTGGCAAACCACAGTTCTGTCAAGTGGTTGAGGTGTCTCCCTGCTCTCTGACCAGTGTGTGTAGTACATGTCTCTCTGCACTGTACACAAGTCCTTCTAGTGACATCCTTCTCAGTGTCACTTTCCCCCACTCTGCCTTCACTTGGGGCCACAGCAATCCTACACTGCCTCCCGTTTACTTGCACATATGACCTTCTGTGCACAGGTTGTCCTTGCTCCCTTCCCCTTGTTTACATTTTAAGGCTCAATTCCTCCATGAACTATTTCAGACCCTCATCCTGACCCCCATCTACCATGGTTCCTTCCACATAACAGAGATCAAATATTTGTCCCCTAGGTTCCCATAACTTTCATGAATGCCTTAATTATTCTACTAATACTTCCGTGTATTTTCTTCTTCAATATAGCATGTTCCTAAGACCTCTTAATCCTATTCTTCAACAAATACAATCTCTGAAATGAACGAATAAATCAATCAATACAATCAATACATTAGTGAGGAAGCACAAATAGGTCTAAACCAGCAGAGAGGGCTTCTCTTTATCCACAAACAATTCAAGTCTAATGGGCTAGAAAATACACACATTTAAATGGTTTAAAGGGAACAATTTAAATGAAAAGTATACACCTACAACACAAAACCAATACTGTGTGATACATATATTCTTCTATGCCCACACAAGTAGACAACATCTATTAAAGGTGTATTAGAATTCTGTAAAATTAATTAAGATAGTTTTAAGGATGTTTTTCCTTCATTGGAATAAAACCTGTTGGCAAGGATTTGCAGTTGCCGATCCCAAAGCACTGCATTTCAACAGCACTGTGTGTGGTGCTCACTCTATGAAAAGAGCTTTCAACACCAGGGAGCCCGACAAGGGTGGGAACGCATTTCCACTCCCTTTGGCTTACATATTCTCTTAAACAAGTGGGCAAGGTCATTCCTGCCATATCCACTCCGAGTATCTTCTTGGTACTTCGTTTACTCTCACATTACAACCCTACCCTCACCTCTACAGCTCTTCAGTTTCTATGCACAGGTTTGCTATCTCTTGAGACACTCGGAAGCATTTTCCACGCTCAGTCTGGAAGTCTTTACATTTAAAGCATGCCAATGGGTCTCCTCTTGGGCACACTACAGCTTTTCCTGAGAACCTCCCTTTTTAAAATCTCCCATGTAGGCAGGCACAGATGGCAAGCTTCTGCTTCCCACGTCCCTAATGCTTCATGTTTAGACTCTAGTAACTACTTCATAGTAAGTGTTTTCAAGTCAATCCCACCCCCATCCAAACTGTACCCTATCATTTGAATTATGGTTTTGAATTCCTTAAGTCTAGACAAGTTTCATCACTATTCCAGCTGCAATCTGTGACTTCTTCCATTTCCCCATTTCTTGTGACACATGTGTGCGTTCTGTGACTTCTTCCATTTCCCCATTTCTTGTGACACATGCTTGCGTGCATACACACACACACACACTTTGCTCAGGGCCCCTTTTAGAAAACCATACTGAACACCATCTCTGTAACCTTCAGCCAGTGAAATGTCCAGTAAGTGCAGCTTCCTTACTTCCCCTCGCCCTCGTCTGTAAGATCATAAACATTTTGCTTTCTTCTCCAAAGTCTATGCTGACTACTATGGTAGAAGCGCTCTCTTTCTCTTTTAACATCTATCACACTTTGCCTGGATAATTCACATATATTTATCAAACTCCTGTTCACATCTTCTCTTCTCCGAGTCAATTAGTTCTCAAAATGGGTACAATATATCCACTCTTTCTTTTCCACTAGAAAACCGCCTTAAGGACAGAAAGTGAAAAGACCAACGGGGAAGAGAAGGACACAGCTCCCTTTGCTGTTTCCGCCCTCAGACTACACAGAAAGCTATTTCTTAAGTGTGGATTAGAGTTAGGGTTTCAAATGGGAAAGTTACTAATTGGAAAATCTGGAAATCAGACCTCAAAGAGAATGAAACCCTTTCATCTACCGTATCACATTATCTATGCATAAGCCCTAAAGTACTGAGTCATCCGGACATTTTATAACAATAAATGAGTACAAAAATTCTCAAACAGTCACTGTGGGACATAATCCATCTGGCACAGGCCTCAAGAAGGTACACGAGGAACTAACTTATTTATATGAGAAGCATTTTTAATCACAAAACATGTAGCTGGATCATAAATACAAATAAGAAGGCTCCAAGTCCTCCTGCTTTCTATTAGTCTCATGTACACCACCTCAGATATGAAGGAAATTCTCACACACATCTGTTTGCTGCTGCGTGCTAGCACCCGGGCTGGCACACAAAGCTATGTAGTCCCTGCTAACAACTGAGCCCTGAGCAGTTCCAAGGCAGACTTACTTACAATGTGGATAAAATACTATTTCTTCAGACTGGGTCTCACACGTCTCTAGTACAGGAACAGCTAACATCTGAACAATGAAGTGCCATCCTGTGGCTCAAATCACTTGGCAAGATGAGTTGCAAGAACATGAGGCACCGGGTGAACGATAGAACGTGAGCCCTGTTCCCGCGAGGATTCCTGCACCACCTCAGAAAAACAGTCTGCCATGGAGACCAAATGCTTCAAATGTATTGAACCCTCTGTAAAGGTGATCCATCTTGATGACAGTTTACTTATTTGTAACATTTTTTCTTTCTTTTTACTTTCTAGTAAGACAGTCACAGAGGAACATGGCACCAGTCCCATTTCACAACGTGGACATACAAGCCACGAGTCAGTCAGGAGTCAGTACAGTGTCACAGGAGCATTGGGAAGTGAATTCCACTTTACATTAGATTTCTTCTTCACCCTTAATCCTGAACAAGTTTCATTAAATTTGGATTCTTTTTGGAGAATTTCTACCTCAGTGGAACCTTGTTTGAAATGTTTCCTTTTGTAATAAACATATTTCAGCAGAACTCTTAGCTACTCACTAAACCATGAGAATGTCCCCTTCATTAACTAAAATTGCTACCTTAGTTTTTTAAGGGTTAAAAATGACACAGATCCATACCTGACCTTTCCTTTTGCTTTTCAACACTTGGTATTTACAGAGATTAACATCAAATAAGTTAAACTGGTATTAAATAATTTATCAGTATACTAGATGGCTCTCAGCATATAAAAAAGGATTTGTTAAAACAATCAAGTAAAATACACAGAATAAAAAGTAGTTGAATTGATAGTTTTAAAAATATTTGTCATGATGTATCTCTTATAATCTGTGACTTCTTACATCTCTCCATTCCTTACCATGCACTCTTACACACACGTGTATACACACACACACACACACACACACACACACACACACATCCACAAAACCCTACACACAAAACCACTCACACATCTATGAACTCTTGTGTCTGTTGAAAGGTTAAAGGAAATAGAGAAGAACAGACTTGTTTCATCATTACAACAGCGTGATTGTTTAGCACTCAACAGATCAAGAATGCACAGAAAAGGACAGTGACTGCCCAAGGCCATGAAATTAAGCAACTGGTCCATGAACTACTCAGCCTTGAGTGTTGTGCTCGGTTTAGCAGTATGAATATGAACTATTTCTGGATTTTGAAGTTTATAGAAGGTTATAGACTAGTAAATAATCGATTGTGTTAAAGTAGGATGCAGTGTAGGTATGTTTCTCAAAGCCACAAGTAACGTGGCTTTGTGTCCCCATCCAAGGTGCTATGAGATGGTGGTGGACCCTTTCATAAGGTGGAGCCTAATAGGTATTTTGTGGGGGCATGATCTCCTGATGTTGGCTGTTAGGTGAATGGGCTTCCTCTGCCACATGATCCCACCATGATGATACTTCATCACAGATTCACAAGCAGAAAAGGACAATGGACTGAAACCTGTGCAACTACCCACTGATTAGATGTGAGGCCTGCTCCACAGAGAACTCATGCCTGGTACCATAAGCCTAGCTAATAACAGGCATGGTGAGTCCATCCCTAAGTGGGGAAAACTAAATTCACATTATCAAGCTGCCTTTTAAATATATGTTTGTACTCATAGACAAAATCCCTAAGCTTTAATCAGAGAGGCATCTCTTTACAGTGACTTGACAGTGAATATAGAGACTTGTGGATGCCCAAGAAGCTAAAATAAGTGACAACTGAGGACTCATCCCTAAACTACACGTTTACATGGAGAAGACCTCAAGGTTGGGAAAACTCTGTGGAAGTATGTAAGAAATAGAAATACAGTGAAGAAGTGTGAAATGCCAACCTCTAAACTCCATATAGCCATCTGCAACCACGAATTCACAGCTGTAGTTACCTGCACCAGGCCTATGTAAGACAGGTCCTGTCAACAATTGGTTAATGTAGGAGCTCACAGGACTCTTGTGATTTACAACTCAAAGTCCACCAA